ACTTAGATTTTGTTTCTTCTTTGGCAGGTGAACTCCACGATCCATGCTCTTGCTTATCAATCTGAGGTGCAACTGAAGCGAGCCCTCCAGGCTGAAGAAACCTCTCGAGGGAAAAGTAAAAGCTCAAGGACCTCATGAAGGAGCACACAGAGATCTTCACCGAAGTGCTGAAGGAGGCCAAGGTCAAGGCCGTCGAGGAATACAAGTCTTCGGAGGAGTAATGCAAATTGTTGATCGAGACTGGCACAGAGGCCTATCGCAAGGGCTTCAAACTTAGTAGGTGGCTGACTCTGTGCAAATTCCCCAAGCTTGGCCTCAATATTATCACAACGTCTAGGGTTACCGAGGAGATGGCTGCGGAGGCTACCAAAGACCCGAACTCTGATGAGGAGAGTGACGACGGCCTTGTTAGTGATGAGACAGCAGAGGGAGATGGAGATGGTGCTATTGAGGATCACATGGAGACCGACCTACCTGTAAGTGCTACTGCTGGGGACGAGGAGCCCCACGTCGACTAATAACTGTCTACCTCTTTTCTTGGATCCCCCGTATATATTGGATGTCTCGAGCCTTCGAGCTTGGTTGAGTAGTTGTAGTCTCCTTTTTTGTCATGTACTTTGAACTTCACTTTATTAATGCTATGCAATAGTTTCAAAACTCCTGGTTGTCCAAAATTTTCTAAGTATAGATTACTCCTAAAGTATCGAGCTAATGAGCTCGACTCGAGTAGGAATAGCCCAATCTCGCTGTACGCCAAGTGAACAAACACTGTAGGGTATATGCCCAACCTGTCTACACACGAGTTACTCTTTTATTTGCCCATGTCGAAGCGACTAGGTTTTTGGTTGCCTATGCCAAAGCAACTAGGTCATAGGTTGCCCATGCCAAAGCGATTGGGTCTTAGGTTGCCCATTACGAAGAGTCGACTAGGTCTTAGCATGCCTATGCCAATGAGGCGACTAGGACTTATCTGCCCATGCCGAAGAGGTGACTAGGTCTTTTATCAGCTCGATACCATAGCCCTTAGGCTCTAGGAGTGACTTACGGTCCTCTCTCCAGCTCGACATCCTTCTAACCAGCTCGGTGGTCTTGTGGACTTAGTAAATTTTTTTGTTGTGTTGGAGTCGTGAGTTCATAAATATTTTCTTCTCAAGTTGTCAATGTTCCAAGCTCGAGGTACTTGTTTTTCTTCCATAGTATCGAGCTCATATGTGCCTTCTCCGAACACTCATCTCACCTAGTATGGACCCTCCTAGTTCGGTCCAAGCTTACCCACGTCGAGCTCAGGTACCATTACCTTGTAGAGCACGAAGTCACCAACTCGAAACTGTCGTTTCCTGACCCGGGCATTGTAGTATCGAGCTATTTGTTGCTGGTAAGCCGCGGTCCGAATATAGGCCAGGTCGCATACTTTTTCAATCAGGTCCAAGTTGGTCCGGAGCTCATTGTCATTTGCCTCTTTGTCGTATGCCTCGAGTCGCAACATTGGTACTTCGATCTCTATCGGAATCACAACCTCCGTTCCATATGTAAGGTTAAAGGGTGTTTCACCGGTCGTAATCTTGATGGTCATCTTGTAGGCCCAAAGGGCACTGGGCAACTAGTCCACCCACAACACTTTAGCTCGCGCCAGGCGAGCTTTTAGTCCGCGGAGGATAGCCTTATTCGTCACTTCGGCCTATCCGTTCGCCTATGGGTGTGCCACTGAAGTAAAATTTTGCTGAACCCCCATCTCGGCACACCAATTTTGGAATTTGATGTCTTTGAACTGCTTCCCATTATCCGATATCAGCACCTTGGGCAGTCTGAAACAACACACAATGTTATTCTAGAAGAAGTTTTGTGCGTTCCGAGTTGTAATGTTCACCAACGGTTCAGCCTCCACCCACTTTGTGAATTAGTCTACTGCTACGACCAAGAATTTCCTCTGCTCGGTTGCCAACAAAAATGGACCAAGGATGTCGATCCCCCACTGCGCGAAGGGCCATGGGATGGTCAAGTACTTTAGATCGGTAGTAGGTTGATAAAGGATGTCGGCATGCCTCTGACATTTGTCGCATTTCTTGACGAGCTCGAATGCGTCCGCCTTCGTAGTAGGCCAGTAGTAACCCTACCTTAGTAATTTTTGGGCAAGCGCTTTTCCCCCAAGTGTCCTCCGTATAGTCCTTCATTGATGTCGCAAAGTACTAGTTCGGCTTTTGAAGGTCGCAAGCAACGTAGGTAGGGGAGAGTAAAGGACCTCCTGTACAGTCGTCCATCTACAAGGACGTACTGAGCTGATTGACATTCTACCCTCCAAGCTGCATTGTGTTTTGCTGGTAGGGTCCCATGGAGCAGATAATCAATGAGCGGGTCAATCCAACTTGGTTTCGCTTGCAACACGGGAGCGACCTCTTCTGCCCCTCGGACCTTGGTATCTGCCTGATGAAGCAAGAACAAAAGCTTGGTAGGATTTCTCTAACTTTGGCCAGGTAGGCTGCCATAGTTGAGTCGTGAGCTTCGTAGTCACCATTGATATGATTTACTACTAACTTCGTCAATCTCCCTAACGCTTCAGGCTTAAGTAAAATATGTCTCAGAGGTCTGTTGGTAAGGACGACAATGGTATGGGCTTGGAAGTAAGAGCATAGTTTCCAAGCAGCTACTACTAGTGCATACACCATCTTCTCGACGTCGGGATATTTGGCTTTTGTGTCCTACAAAACTTTACTTACGTAGTAGATTGGTCATTGGACCCGGTCTACTTCTCTGATTAGTACCGAGCTGTCCACCTCGTCACTTGCGGAGAGGTACACTTCAGTTCGCTGGAACTCTTCGGTCCATGCAAAGTCTTCGTTCTTTTTTATCACCTTAAATAAAGGTAGGCACCAACCTGCCAATTTAGACATAAATCGGCTAAGAGCGGCTACCCAGCCAATGAGTCTTTGAACCTCCTTTATCTTTTGGGGTGGTCTCATATCTAAAATGGCCTTAATTTTATCTAGGTTGGCTTTGATGCCACGTTGGTTCACTATGTAACCGAGGAGCTTGCCTGACGTGACCCCAAAGACACAATTGTTTGGGTTAAGTTTCATATTAAATTTCTTTAGAATTTGAAAAACCGTAATTAAATCATCAATTAAAGAATTGGAAAACTGGGTCTTCACGACCATGTCGTCAATATAGTACTCTATTTTATTGCCAATCAAAGGCTCAAAAATTTTATTTACAAGTCGTTGGAAAGTTGCTCCAGCATTCTTCAAACCAAAGGTCATGACTTTATAACAGTACAACCCGAGTTCAGTTACAAAGGCAGTCTTATCCTGGTCGGCTATGCCCATCCTAATTTGGTTGTAGCCGGAGTAGGCATCCATGAATCTCAGCAACTCATGCCCCGAGGTCGCATTTACCAGACGGTCTATTCTGGGAAGGGGGAAGCAGTCCTTTGGGCAGGCTTTGTTCAGGTCGGTGTAGTCGACGCACATGTCTAGATCGGGTAATGAACCTCCCTAATGAAGTCTGCGGCGAGGAGCTTCTCGACCTCCTCATCGACTACCCTCCACCACTCTGAGGCAGGGTTGCGTTTTCTTTGTCTATTTGTCCTGACTAAAGGGTTCACATTTAACTTGTGAGTAATCACACTAGGGTCGATGCCTGGCATTTCTGCCATGGACCAAGCAAAAACATCTAAATTATTAAGTAGGAAACTTACTAGTTGTGTTCAGAGTGGTTTTCTTATCAGGGCACCGATCAAGAGAGTCTTAGTCAGCTCGGTCTTGGAAACCAGTATGTGGATTGTCTCCTCCATCAGGGCTACTTGCTCCTCGGTGTAGTCCGCTAGTTGCTCTAGCTCGACGTCTTCTGCTAGTTTCATGTTTCCTTTTAGGGCAGCCACGTAGCACTTACGAGACTTGAGTTGATCGCCTCACACAACCCCTACTCCGTAATCCATCAGGAACTTTATCGCTAGATAGTGCGTTGATACTATTGCACGTAAGATGTACATGATGGACCGACCTATGATCGTGTTGTAGGGGGATAGAGTCGTGACCACTAGAAAGGTGTGCTCGAATTGAATGATGTTTGGCCACGTGCCTGCTTCAACTGGTATTGTGACCCAACCAAGAGGTTTGACTTCTTCACCGCTAAACCCCACCAGGGGCGCATTTGTCGGTTTCAATTCGCTTTGTTGTATCTGCAGCCTGGCGAAGGTCCTTTTGAATAGGTTGTTGGTCAAACTGCCGAAGTCCACTAGGATCCGCTTCACTTCGAAGTCGTTGATGAATAGCTTCACAACAAGGGCATCGTCATGAGGATACTCTATCCCACATGCATCGTCCTCGGTGAAGTAAATGGGCTCTTCTACTCGATGTCATTTCGGTGGGTTTTCTACTTCATCCTCTAGTTTCTTGACTGAGGTCTTCCCTTGCTGTTGAAGTGCACCCCGCTACAATGGATTTGCCAGTGATCATGTTCATCACCCCATGGACCGGTCTCTCTTCTAGTAGCTGCCAAGGTGGCTACTCATTTTGTCTGCTTGACTCTGGGGCGTCTCTCCTCCAATCTACCTATCGGTTCCCTTGTCAGTCTCCCTGTCCTTTCTCTTCGCACAAGATGTAGCTCTTCAAGTATCCATGACGAATGAGCTCTTCGATTTCATCGCGGAGGTTCCGGTAGTTCTCTGTGTTGTGGCCATGGTCCCAATGAAAGTGACAATACACATTCGGGTTTCTGGTCGTTGGGTCTCCCCGTAGCCTAGGTGGCCATTTGATGAAGGAGGAGTCCTTAATTGCCATCAGGATCTCTCCTCGCTTCGCGTTAAGGGGACTGTAATTGGTTCTTTCTACAGGAGGGGTCCTGGATCGCCAACCTGACCTATAGCTTCGAGAGGGGGACTTACTCCTCGAGCGAGGTGACTTACTTCTTCTCCTTGGTGACTTGCTCTTCTTCCTTTTGTGTTTGCTGCTGCTCATACCTTCTTCTTCTCTCTTTCTCTTCTCGCCTTGTTGGTTTTCTAGTTTTTAATTGAGCTCTTCTTCGGTGCTTATGAATTTCTCGGCTAACGCGAGAAACTCTGTAATAGTCTTTGGCCGATTCACTTTGATGTACCACCTGAGCTCCTTGTGTGTGACTCCTTTTTGAGCTGCAGTGAGGCGTACTGTTGGGTTGAACTCTAGTATCTGTAAGCATGTTTCATTGAAACGTTTGATGTAGCTCCGGATCGACTTCCCTTCCCTCGGCACCACATTCAGAAGGCTCTCTTGTGATTTCGGGCACTTCTTACTAGTGGTGAAGTTGGCTGTGAACATGTCCACAAACTGTCCCCAACTTTTGATGGAGCCTGGCGTGAGGTTCTTGTACCAAGCCCATGCTAATCCTTTGAAAGTGATGGAGAAAGCCATACACATACATGCTTCGTCTGCCCCAGCGAGATGCATTTGAGACTGGAACACGTCTACATGATCGCTGGGGTCGTAGGATCCGTCGTACTTGTCCAACAGAGGTACCTTGAAATCTTTTGGCATCGGGACTTCTAGTAGCTCGGGTGACAGGGGGATTGCTGGCTCAACAAAGCTGGAGCCGCTCGTATAGCCATCGAGATCACCTCTTCCCTTTCCTTGCTTTGTTCCAACGGTTGGCTGTTCTTTGCTGGCAAGCTGTTCCTGGCTGAGGAACGGCAAGTCTTGTAATGCCACCGCTGTTGCTTCTTTACCGGCTCGGCGTTTGTGCTGCTGACTTCTGTATGGTCAGGCACTTCAATTCTAGTCCACTCTCACTCCTGAACACTGTCGCGAGGTGGATCAGGGTTCCTTCCTGCCGCTTCTTCTTAGTCTCAAGACCATTGTTGACTGTTGTGGGGTGCCGAGGGGTCTCGTCTTGAGCCCACACCTCGGGCCCCAAGTTGACGATCATCACGTCGTGATCCATTGTTCTCCTACCGCGAAAGTTGTTGCTGACTATTCCTCTCGGGCTGACTGATTTCGGGCCTGTCCTTCGGGTTCCCCCTTTGGGAAATTGGGGGAGTGTGCTGTCTGTCCATCCTGCCTCGAGGTGGGGTCCGACCCCTAGGGGGACCAGTACCTGCAAGGTCCCCTCACCCCGATGGGGAGATCGGTGGACATTTTGATGGGCCTTGTGCTGGTTTTGGTTCTGGTTTTGTCCTTGATACTCACTGACCTGTGTGCTGTGGTGGAATCTACTGTTGGCTTGGCTGTAGTGGTGGAAACTGCTACTGGTATTGTTGGTAGAAATAATACTGTTGAAACTGCTGAAATTGGTGGATCTACTGCATCTGGATCTGTATTGTCTTGACGCTCTGAACAAGGTCATCGAACTGAGAATGCTCGATCCTAGGAGGGATCACCGAAGGCTCCGAAAAGGTGGTCTTCACCTGGGGCATCAAAACGTTTATCAACTGAGTTGTTTGGGGCACTAATGGAGAGGGGATCCCTAAAGCAGTAAGGGGAATCGTAAATTGCCCGATAGTCATTGAGAGGCCTTGGGGGAGTGACGTTTGGTGATCTTGCTCCCTAGTGATGTTCAAGTCAATAACCTTACCTCGGTGTTAGTAGAAGATGCCATTGAAAAAGAGTGTGGTGGTTGATTAAATGTAGTGCTAACTTTTTATCGTTTCCCACAAACGACACCAATTGATTATGTGCGATCTGGAAGCTCCTAGCTAGAAGGTGACCTGGACCTTAGTCACGTAGCGAGCTGGACAAAGCTACAAGACAAAGGATTAGAGAACCCCGGGTGGTTAACCTGGTGAGGTCGCTCCAATGCTTAAGTTAGTATTGAGTTGTGCGAGCTGAAAGCTAGTAGGCTAGGGAGCAAGTAATCGCGCGTACCTGAGTCTTGGGGGTTGATGCCCTTATATAGCTGGAATGCCGTGGGCCTCACAAAACGCTCATGGAATCTTCGGCTCGTGACATAGGGATTTGTTCTGCTTTGGAAGGTGGGTAACGTACCAATTAATAAGTTTCACTGTTTCCTTCCGATTCGAGCGGGATGAGGATAAGGCCTACAGTTACACGGCGTGATTCCAAGAAGTTTGGAGATGATTGGCAAACTTCTAGGTTCGGTTATGTGGCACCTCAACGCGTGTGGGTACTGAGGTGCCCCGGTTCTGAAGTGCTCTGGTTCCAAAGTGACCAAGCTCCCGAGGACCTACGATCTGCTATCGTGGCACCACACGCTGATCCATCGTCTGGCTGGCAAGCTGCATCCACGTGTCCCTTACTCATTAGGTCGGACCAAATCACCCCTCATCAAGTAGTCTTTCCAACTAAGGAAAGTTCCTCTTCCAACCCACCAATTTGTTATCAACTCTCACTTAAGAATTTAAAAGTTTTCTTGCCAAATTTGTTATTGAAGACTTGGGCTCCCAAGTACATAAAACTCTTACTTCCAAAAGGGATGCTTATAATTTTGGCCAAGATTTTTCGGTGCCTTGGGTGTAAATTTTTGAAGAATAAAATATTTGATTTGGAAAATTAGGAGATTGTCCTAATGCTTTGGCAAAATTATCTAAAGCCCAAGGCTAGTCAAGAGTAGGGGCAATGATCGGCGAATGGATTTTGAGGGAAGTATCCGATTGCTCTTCCTCCCTCTCCCAGTTCTTTGTCTTTCGTTGGTCTCATATTTGTTTTGTGTGTTATTTAGCTACTTTCTTCAAAGTTCTTCATTTTGTCATTTCTAATAAGATCGAATCTCTCAAATGTTTCTTTTGCAGGATTTCTGGTTCTTCTGTTGTCTGCTTTCTGTCGCTATGCTTTGGGCTCGAATGGGTATCAAAGGAAACAGAGAGAAAAAGAATAGGCGAGAGTTCTCGGTGGCAACCTAGAGACATATACAATGGAGAGGCAACCTAGAGACATGCGGGATATGAGTCAAGCAAAGCGAGGAGGTCGGTTAATCATGTGCTACAACAAGAGAGTATACATAACTCGAGGAAATCCGCTGAGAGCACAAATGAGATAAATTCCAAGATCGCTCGTCCTATGAACTTAGACGAGATCGTGAGGGAAAATAAATGAGCAGATGATCCATGGTCCCTATGTTTGCTCGCAAAAATGTTGGGAAATGCTGAACCCACGATAAAGGTCATCATGGAGAAAGCAATAGTTTGGGGTATAAAGAATAAAATTGATATTTTCCCTATCGGAAATTAAATGACTTCTTCTTGTTATCGTTCTCTTCCGTGGACGACTACAATCTCATCCTCGAGAAGGGAACTCAGGCGGTGAATGGGAAATACTTGGTTACTTTTCAGTGGAGGAGTGGATTCAATCCACTTACTACAAAACTTCAATCCAGGACGTGGGTAAGGTTCTCAAGCTAGATTATTATATTCAAACACTGAAGGATTTTGCCGAGCTATGTACCCCTGAGTCTGTATCCGAGTATGATGATGGTTGGACTCTAGTGCACAGGCATAACAACTTTGCCAAAAAACACCCTAGGCTTGCTTGGGTTAAAAATGGAAAACCGGGTAAGAATTCTTTTAATGATACAATCTCTCCGAAAAGAAACTACTCACCTATTTATGATTTCTCCGATGAGGAAAATACAGAAAAAGGAGAGGGCGAAGAAGATTTTGATGGGGATGAAGTTGGAGAAGACGACATGGAAGAGGATTGAAAAGGCCACGATGAAACATTCAAAGATAAGATTCTGGAAATAGAGGTGATGGGTGATCAAGACATACCTTCGGATGAGGACAATACGAGTCCGGGAAGTGGAATTGTTACAAATGAAAATCCTAACTTGGAATGTTAGGGGGGTTGGTAGATGTTGCCAAGCTTTTGAACTTTCCGAAGTCTCACAAACTGGGTATTTGCAAACTAGGGTTAAGCCTGATCGGGCCAAGAATATTATTAAAACTTTTCCTTTTGTCAAATATATTGTGGTGGATCCCATTGACTTCTTGGGTGGGTTTTGGGTTTCGTGGGACCAAAGACAATGTTATCGCCATGAATTTTAACAGACATGTAGAAATATTCTCAAGGGTAAAAGATTTAAACATATCCTGAGTTTTTCCAATAGACGTAAAGAGACCTTGTGGGTTGATTTCACTAGTTTAAAATTTTAAAAACCCTATTTTACCCTTTCTCTTATACTACGATATTAGGCCCTTGTTTTGCACTTGTCAAAAAATATGATCTCTTTTCTCGTCTCCTTCCAGGATTCCGAACCCAAATTTCTCAAGATTAAACCAACAAGACGAACTAGTAAAACTTGCAATTAGAGAAGCCGAGGTTGCTTCATTTCCAAGCTTGCGGCCACACAATTAAAAATTTCAAGACCCCTTTCAAATCCAATCTATATACCACGTTTGGTTAGTGATTAGTTTTGATGTTATGAAAGGTGAAATTTATGTGTGTGGAAGTTTAGATTAGAGATAAAAGAAAGCATCCTTGTTTTAATGTTCCTCTCTCAACGGTTCCCAAGTCCCCATATATGCCTGATCTGTTTTCTTTTTCTTTTCTTCATCACCTGCTTCTAGTCTCTCTATTGTTTCATGTGTGGATCCTCACAGACCCATCTCTCTAGTGTTTCCTCTCATCCCTGTTTTCATATCATTTCCTCAGACCCAACTTATTTTATTTCAGTATTCAAGAGCTAGCTAGTAACAAATTGCTAGTGCATAAATTAATGGTCCAAATGGAGAGATAGAAAATGTTGAGTTGTTTAGGTTTCTCAGAATTAGTTTCAGAATCTCACCTAAGAAAAAGAAACAAGGAAGCCTTCTATAGAAACCCTAATGATCCAAATCTATGACAAGGGAAGAAGACCTAGGATTAAGATGTAGTAGAAGGGATGGTAGATGGCATCCATGATCAGAGAGCCCAACTACAAGCCTGCACCAAGGGTGGAATTGATCCTCTCTGAGAACAAACCCAAGTTTGGACCCCATGAAACCATTAAGGGCATAAACGATACAGAGGTAAGGATTGAACCGTTAAATGAAGATTCTCATGAATCTTTGTCTTGAACCCAGTGTATATATCATGTGAATTAAGTAGGGCTGCAAATGAGTTGGATCGGATTCGGTAAAAGGTATATCCAATCCAATCTAATAAGAAATCTGAATGATCCGAATCTGAAAAGAATCCATTGGATTTTCAAGAGTATGATTTGAATTCGAATATCTTATCGGATATCCGGTTCGATTAGAATTGTAATAAAAAATTTTATGATAATATAATATAATAATCTACTATAATATATTATACATAATATATAATATATAACTATATAAATAATATATAGAATAGAATATACATATATGATATATAAATAATATATATAATATAATGTTTCATAACTAACATATTGGATGGATCAGGGTATATCCGAATTCAATCCATTAACTAAATGGATCAACTTTTCCAATCCGATATGTTTTGTTAGGATCAAGGGTGGCATCCAAATATGGCTCTTATGGATTGGATTCAAATTCAATCTGACTTATTTGCAGCCCTAAATTGTGAAGGTGAAAGTAGGTGTCAACACAAATTTCGTG